GTGTGTGTGTGTGTGTGTGTGTGTGTGTGTGTGTGTGTGTGTGTGTGTGTGTGTGTGTGTGTCTGTGTGTGCAGCCCCTTCCACACGCGCACAGAGAACACCTTCCCGGTAGACACTCAAAAAGGAATTCCAAAATAGTTTGTGTTCGCAAAGATCAACATCCACCTCATGATCATGTCTAGCCCTGTATTTACTGCCGATATCAAGGCAAAAGAAACGTTTTGAGTGTGGCATTTCTAGAAGACAAACAATCCAGAACAATCAGTGATACCATAGTGCAATCCAGAACAATCAATGATACCATAGTGCCTCACTGACATGCTCGCTGACCAGACAAGTCGGAAACTCACAAACGACTCAGTTTTCCTTGTGACCAGGGTCACCAGCCCGTACGTACGGAGGTCCCCTGGCCGACCTTCGTACGTACGGGCGTTCCAGGTCCCGATCGGGGTCCGAACCTGAGCCCGTTCGGCCCCCCCAAAAAAATATTTGGGGGCCTAGAAATAAATGTTTGTTTGTCTGAGTTTTGTTTTGTGAGTTTTCTATGATGTGAGGTACATGCCTATAAATTTTGAAGTCATTTTGCTAAGCCAAAACAAAATTAAAAATCGCCAAAGATGGAAATGTTGAAACGTGCTCGCCCACTCACTATTTTGTTTTTTTTCACTTAAAGTTTTACTTTTCGTTTTGACTTTATTTCGGGCCCCGGAAAACATTTAGTATTTTTTGAAACTTTTTTAATGAGTTTTGTTTTATGTGAAGTACACATCTGTAAATATTCAGGGTACATGGCTTTGCCAAAAAAAAATGAAAAATCGCCAAAGATGGCGGTATCAAAAACGTGTTCGCGCAGTCGCTAATTTTAATTCTCGTTTGATTTCTTTCTTATTTTTATTATCAATTTTATTTTTTTGTACTTTGTTTTTATTTCACAGTTGGTAAGGAATTTGGATGTAGTGCTCAGGCAAATGTTGTTTATTTTAGTTTTCTTCATAACATTTTTTTGTTTCAGATTTTTTGGATTTGTTTTTTTTTGTTTTTGGTCCAAGTTGGGCCGAACAGAACCCCACGGGTCCCGTACGGGTCCCGTACGTTTGGGCGTTAGGGCATTCGGGTTCGGGCGTTCGGGTTCCCGTACGTTCGGGCGTTCGGGTTCGGGCGTTCGGCCCGTCTCTAATGCAGATTACCCTGCTTGTGACAATGTAATAATAAATTAGATTTGGCGGCGTTCGGCCCGTCTCGAATGCAGATTACCCTGCTTGTGACAATGTGATAATAAATTAGATTTGGCCACAAGAACTTAAAACATTAGAGAGGATGAATCAGGACATTGCTTGGGCCCACCCCTCATTGTTCACTGCATCATATCCGCCGCAGAAGACACACGACTCTCTCATAGCTATTACATTACTCTCCCCTGATGTTTTTCAATCACAAGTTCATTCTATTATCACATTTGACTCCCTCCCGATTGGCGCCATAATATCGATCATCCTTGTCATGATAGTCACCGTCAACGCTCTTTTCCATCAAGCCACCATCTCGTCATCATAATAATTATGACGGTTCCTCTCAGGCAGATTACAAGGGTCCCCCAGCTGCTAACAGAAAAAGACTACTCTGAGCCGACCGCGCGAGATCTGTACCTAGTCGGAACCATGTCTGCAGAAAGTGTCAATCCTGATGACGGATGAACGTACAATCATGTAATTCCCGCGGTTCGTGAAAGAGATTGGCGATCAATCAATGAATGAAGGCAACGTGGGTACACAATTTGTGAGGCATCCACAGTACGCTGCGCAGTCATGGAGAAGAGGAGAGGAGATACAGGGCCCTCACGACCACTTCTCCCTTACCTGGGGGTCCCAATATCCCGAAGGAGGCTTCTCGGCACCACTGCCCGCTGTGAGATGACTTGCTAAAGATCGCCAATAGATCATGCTCAAGTCCTATGGACGCAGCCCACAGCGCAAGCGTGAGCTCAGGGTGAGACTGTCCTTCTGTCTATGCCCTGACCTAAGCATGCAGGAGAGAAAAAAACGGAGATGAGGAAGCAAAGGAAAGAGTCTCCACCGTGGAAAGGGACCTTACTTCATATGGGTGGGGGCGCTCACCTTTTCCTAGGGGGTTCCTAGGGGGTCCTGTGTGTGATTGAAAGCTGCTGCGAATCGATTCTGAAAATGTCACACCTTTGAACATGTCTTACCTCCATCCAAAAGTCGTTATTGACGCATTTTACTTATTCCTTAAATAATTAATTATCCGAGTTACTGCAAAATATTCGACAAAGCAATCAGCGAGAGACAAGCCCCGTTGGCTGGCATCTGAGTCGGGTGGGCCTAACTCAAAACATTCTCCAAGCGATAGCTTCCAGGTTTCCAAACACAGAAAAAAGAAAGAAACACCGTGAAACTCCTCGTCAAAAAACCCGGAACTATCAAAAGCTTCGGTCAAAGCCCGTCATCAGCGGAAAGAACTCTTCTAGTCCGTCGGTGGTATACTGGACTGGCACACAGATCAATGTCGTTGGTCACGCATGTTATACATCGTACACACCACTGCCTGGAGTTGCATAATCCAGCTGTCAGAGCTCATAAGCATCAGATCGTCAAATGTCATATCCTGCCGACGCGCAACCACAACATCTCAGGAGAATGAATGATCCATGATCCTTCCCTGATAATACATAGTACCCTCAGCATACCCTCAGCTGGCAGAGATCAACGTTGTGCGTCATGCATTTCATACCGTACAGCACACAATCCTGCTGTCAGAGCTCATAAATCGTCACCAGATGTCATGTCCTGCCAACGCTCGACCAGTTCACCATCTCAGAAGAATGTCGACCTACCCTTTCCCGAAAATATTGTCCAGTCCGTCGCAACAGCGTGTATAGTCGACTACACACTTCTTCACACTTCAGATGCCTCTTGGTTTGCCTTCCACTCGCCTCTCATGTCGTCACCTTATCCCTCCTTCCCCCCCCTCCCTTCCTCTGTCGACGTCCTCTGGACCGAATTTTGCCTTGGAAAACAAACAGGTAGGAGGGATTCATACGTGAATTGTAGGAAATCGTGGCAATTCATCCGTCGTTGCCACTTGGTTTGCCTTCAACAGATCTGTCTCATCATGAGAATCAAAAGAGATATGACTGGACTGGATTGAGTTCCAGTGGTCGTCGGTCGATGCGGTGACCTGGCCGAAGCCAGCGGGCGTGTGCGGTGGGCAGAACGCACGACCACTAGAGAACAGCCACCGGCCACCAACAGAACAGAGGCATTCTGCCAGAGGCGGCAGCAGTCGAAAGACTCGAAAGGAACTTTCTACGTCTCAGCCCGCCAGGTCGACCTGGCATCACGGAGTGTCAAAAGAGGTCACCACTTCAGCAGTGGGACGCACAATGCTCGAGATACTAAATTACTAGGACACTGAACGAGGGCAAAAGTACAGAAATTGAGGCATACTACTCTACCAGGACGGATGCTAAGCTAGGGGAGTAGATTATAGGCTGGTAAAGACGGTCAACCCTGCGAGGAGAAATCCGAGCAGGGCTTTGAAGGAAGAATAAAGATACAATTAAGGCTTCGGCAATCTCCATAAAGTCTCGCCTCTGGCTATTTGTCTACCTAGTAGTACCTACGGCAGGAAGCTGGTCATTCGACCATCTTCAAGGCAGGCCAGCCGGTCACTTACGATACGGTAACTCGGAAAAGTTATCTTCGTAGAATATCCTACCCCTAAGGTGGTGGTCGAATTGGGTCCTCTCCTGTCATATCCTTTTTTCTCTGCACCGAGGAACGCCAACCAACAAATCAAAAGGCAGTGCACTGCATAATCCTTGTGTCTATTTCTGCTGACCACTTACTCTCAGGCCTTCCCTACGTCAGAGCAATCACACTATACGAGCAAAAAAGAATGGTCAATTCTATATTGTCACAACTGGAGTAGTGTACACTCAGCTGCCTCCGAGAACTCCGAAACACTGCAGCAACAGTTCCCACGGGTGAAAAAACAATCTCTCCCTCTCTCTCTCTCTCTCTGCACGTGCAGCTTTTTCCCCCACCTTCTGGCCTGTCTCCTGCCTGTGTCTTCGGCTGTGCATACTCAAGCTCGAGGAGGAAGAAACTTGCCATCTCAGCATCTTTGAAGCAGGAGTTGAAATGAGCGGAGAAAGAAGAGGAGAGATGGCCCGTTCGGTCAGTTCAAGTAGGCAACGTCTGTTTGACATGAACTCCGACGGAGGGCACTATCTGAGCACAAATACAGTTACTTTAGAATACACGATCACGGAGCAGGCAAAAAAGGGGGACAAATCGAGTCAATCTAATCTGACAGCCTAGTAAGAGAAAACGACAACTCATACTCCACGCCTCCAGGAACCTAGTAGCTGCATATTGCAATGCTGGCGTCTATTACTAACTGCTACGGAGGTGCTTTTTTTTGAGTTTTTTCCCCTATCGAAGGCGGACAAGAGTGGACCCAGAGCAGGGGAGCCGTCAAAAGGGGGTATCTTCCGACATATCAAAGCACATAGCATATTGGTACAGAGCAAAAAGAAGCGCAGTAAAGTACAACGAACTACATAGTACAGAAAAAAAGAAGGCACTGAGCATTTCATTTGCTATTCATTCCGCATTGTTAAATGCTGCCAGCTAAGACGCTTGTGTGGACGCCATCCCAGTGTGAGCCGGCTGCACACCCTACCCTATGCCGGCCAACAACGTTCCCATGGGCCAGGGAAACTACAAACGTTCCATAGCAGCTGCTCTGGCAGTGTGCCTCGCTCAACTTCACTCTACTAAGCCGATCATCACTCATTCGTCGCTCGCCAACGCTGTTCCTTACTACACACTTTCATTCATCCTCTAAATGCTCAACAGACAAAACCCAATATCGGCTAGCTAGCGTTGTTTGCGCGACTACTACATAGCTCTAACGTACATACTGGATTGATAAAACTCGGGAGTGCCTGCCACTAAGCTGAAAGAATACGGTACACGTGGGAAGAGGTTCCCGGAAGAAATGCAGAGGGAGGAYGAATGGAAGCAAACCAACGACGGGCAAATGAGACATGAATCCTCGAGGTGGAACAGGCAGGTGATGGATGATGCTCATCGAATGGGTAGCTACAAAACCGAAATCATTATCTTAATGTGAACAGCGCAATGCACGCTAGCAAAATCGGCAGAATCAGAGAGCATTTGCAAGACCAGCGTACAGCCCCACTTTCGTGGATGCACAAAAATGTCATCCGCATTTATAGCCACCGTGCTCTCAGCTGAAGCACACCCACCCACCCGCATTCACAGCCACCACACCGTGCTCTCAACTCAAGCACGCACAGCTTCCCGTTGGAAAAGACAAAAGACAGCGGCCGCTTCGTCGTCAACTCAGGCATATTTGCCGTCCGAGCTGGCATCTTCATCTATGATACAGCTATGCAACTGTGCCAAGACCATGACCGCAAGGCAGCTCGTCAAACGGACCACGTAGTTAGCATTCCATCCATACTTCCGCGGGTGAGATAGACCGCTTCAACCAAGCAGTAATGACACTCACTCAGCGCAAAAAAAGACTTTGAAATTTGTGAACAACTCTTGGAGGAAACGCAATCTACGATTCTACATCACCTCGATTCAGCTGAAGTGATCATCCGTATCCTTCTTCCTCCTATTGATCTATGGATCGCTCCATTTGTCAGTCCTCGGTCACTTGCGGAGGTGAGCCGCACCAGTCGGTCCTTACCGCTACTCAAGTGTAATATCTGTCTGATCGCACAGTAATAAGCACTAACACAGATTCTGTCGAAAAGCACTTGCCCGCCTACCTATACGCTCATCGGTCTATTCAACCGTAGTAGTCTAACCTCATCTATCTAAGTTGATCTAATGCCTCTCGGCTCCATAGACGAGAAGAGAGAGAGATGAACTCTATGTCGCTCGAATGGGAAACAAATCACTGGAACAAGCGAGCGGAAAACAAACACCTATGGTTGTCCTAGTAGTGTACGGACGAAGGATAGGTGCAGTTGTAGGGGAATACTGCGTGTGAGAGAGGAGGAGGGGGGGAAGAAAGACCAAGCGAGGGAGGAACTCCCTTGGGCAACCAACAGCTCTCCATTACTCCAGGTTGCATTGCACCACCTGACCGAAACTGAAACCACTCGGGATACAGTTGTGAGATGTCACTTTGCAGATTTGTCCCCAGAGCGTCAGTCGTACATGGATTGGAGCCTTCAGCGGCGTCCCGGTTCTCACCCAGTTGCTTCCCCAGGTTCTCTTCAGAGCTTCCCAATTATCATTGCCCGAGCCTTGAACTTCGCAGCCAACTACGCGCCCACTGCCGGGGATTTGAGCGATGAGGAGGGACAACCAGCCAAATTGATTGCCGTTGATCTGGACTTGGAAGTTACTGTAGGGTGTGCATGATACAGTTCGGTACTCGATATCTATGACACCAACTCTTGCGTCGGCAATCACGGGGAAGGAGTTTTGTCCCATGTCAATGTGGTTCTGCACAGGCAAGAGAAGAAAAACAGCACCAAGCAAAGTATGCACTCACAGAGTGTCAGAGGAAAAAGAACAAGAAAAAAAAAAAAAAAAAAAAAAGGGAAACTCTCTCTCTCTCTCTCTCTCTCTCTCTCTCTCTCTCTCTCTCTCTCTCTCTCTCTCTCTCACGCAGTAGGGAAAAACATGCAATGGACAATCGAACAGAGTGGCACGCTCAGCGGTAGCGGAAGCAACCAGGGGTGAGGTCCCACTATAGCAAAGAGGGTTGGATAATATATCCTGAGTCTCTGGACGTGTTTTTCTAAAACACGGATGCGGAAAAGCAGTCCAATCTCGACATTCTGCTTCTTTCCACAAACAAGTCCAGATTCAGGTGTTCAATCCAACCCTCTTTGCTAGTGGGCCCTCGCCCCAGGGAGCGAGATCCACATTTGGCCTCCAGCAGGCCCCCCACATTTATCGTTTCTGACTCGGAACAGGGCTCGCCTGGGGCTGAGCGATTTTTTTTTTATTTTTTTTTTTCAAGGCCGAGCCTAGTACCACCCCACGGCATGGGACACTTTCTTTTTCTACTGGCCCTTCGGACACCCTGTCCCGACTCCCGGAAAAAATAAAGGAGCTTTCTTTGCTTTTTCCCAACCAAAAACAAAAAATTAGGAGAGAGAGGCTCAACTAGACTGGGTCCATGTACTGGTGGTGAAAAAATGAGAATACGAACTACTCTATAAATCAGGTATTACTCGCACTACCTGTACTAGGACGTTTTCTACTCAGCACCGGCGGAGGTTGCAGTCTGATGCATTCAGGTCAGGCCGTAATACATTTAGAGAACTGCCATGTCAGTGTGAGTATGCCTGCAGGCTGCAGTTGCGTAAAGAAGAACCAATTCAGAAACAAGAGAGAAGAAGCACTGAGGCAAAAGTCGTACAGCAAAAACAGAGCAAATTTCTCCTTCCTGGGGCTAGGTCCCAGTAGCAAAGAGGATTGGGTTGAACACCTGAACCTGGACTTGTTTGTGGAAAGGTGCAGACTGTTGAGATTGAACTGGATTTCTGCATCTCTGCTTAAAACAACGTCCAGATTCAGGATATTTATCCAATCCTCTTTGCTAGTGGGACCTAGCCCCTGGAATTCAGGGGCCAGCACATACCACAGGTTCTGCGACCGAACCAATCCCAGGGGCGAAGTTGATTGCCACCGCGTCTCATTACGAGCGGTAGAGTGACGATTTGGGGCCAATTCTGACAAAAGGCCCACTGGGTCTTATTGGTGCTATTTTCACGGTCTTTTTGCGTCATTAGCCCCGCTGGCAGTTATTCTATTCTATTTGGTCTAACTTTGTTCCTTTTCGAAACAAGTCCGGCAGCGTCACAATTCCAGTTTTGAAATGACAAAAAAAAAAAACATGTGCGGGCAACAAAATCGGGTGTGTGGAGTTAGGAAAAAAGGCGATATATGGTCCTCGCTGCACTACTCTCGACATGCACAAAAGACAAAAATCATGGCGGTGCGTCTTTCCATATTCTAGCCGAAGATTCACTCTCGTTTTGCGCATTTCTAGAGTAGTGCAGCGAGGCCCTATATCGTCCTTCGGTTCATCCGTTAAAAAAGGAGCGATACGGAGAAGTTTTTTTTTTTTTTGTCTTCTCTCAAATTCACCTCACACTACCTACCTACCAAAGACTATATAGAGGGGACCCCTGCAAGCATAGGGCCTCGCAAACGAGGTAATTCATGTTGCCCCTCAGGGGTGGGGCCGCCGGTGGGGGTCCGGCTAACGCAAAGACCGAGCATTTTTTTGCCAGTAGCTGCGCCTCCCTTTCTCATCGTCCCGCACCCCTCATCAAGTAGCAGCAGAGGCTATGGCCAACACTCTCCCACAGCATGGCCCCTGTGCAAGGATGACACGCATAAATCGAGAAATGGTCCAAATGTTAAAAAAAAAAAAAAAAAAAAGGCTATATCCGTAAAAATGGCTCTGTGGCCTGCGTGTGATTTTGTTGCCCATTTCAAACTCGGCGCGTGAGTTTGGTGCCCTTACTTTCAAACTCCGTGGGCAGTTGAATATCCTTTGCTTGCCCTTTCAAATTCGGCGCGCGCGAGTTTGTGTCCGGCCGGCATGCGATTATTATGTTGCCCTTTTCAGACTCGTTTGTGCCGCAACCGAACTTTACCACTTCTTTTTTTTTGAAATATTTGGTTTTACTCATCAATCATGTACCATCATGACCTGGATTTGAACTCGGGTCCGTATTTCAACAATTCATCGGTGTACCCACTGAGCTAGGCTCCTGGGTTTCAGACTGCGGTACACCTGCAACGACAGTCTCTTCTGTTGGGGGGTGAAACCAGAGTTTAGCAATAATAAAGCATAGCACGCGTGGGGCCTGCCTCAAGCCAGTCGTCTTTCATCCATCTCGGCTCAACCAACCACTATGAACTGAACGGTCTAGCAGGAAAGAGGAAGGAGAGCTCAACATGACGTCTCTTTCGTAGGGACTCAGAACAGACTTCCAGAAACTACCCACCACCAATGTGCTCACATGACATTGTTCGTTCGAAAGAGAAAACAGGAAGATGGACCAAGTTAGACAAGCTCTTCAGACCAATGTGGTACCCGTGGTGTTTTGCCCATTTCTCTGCTGAACCTAAACTGAACGTTCTGGGAAAGATGGAAATGTGCTCGACATATGTCATCTTCTGGAGGAGAGAATTGCACAGCACGTCCTGCTGCACAATCATTCCCTAAGGCTTGGTCGACGTGAGACACAAACACAGACAGACACTCATTGACAAAGACCTGAGACAGAAACAAAGGCAGACACTCAAATACGAGCAGACCGAAAACAAACGAAAGGAAGAAGGCCAGGAAAGGGAGAACAGACGGGGGGGTTCCCCGAGAGGAGAGGAGAGCAGCTCTCACCTTGTCAGGCCCGCAGTGAGCAAGATTGGGTGGAGTGTTGGGGCAGAAGTCGGTGATGGTGACCTTGACAACCTTCCCTGGATAGCATCCGCTGGGACCCGTGCACCTGATCTCAACGCACAGTCCGCAGGCGGCACCGTTCTGCCAGATTCTCATTGACGCAGCGGCGTACCTCTCCCCGTATATGGCATACCCAAGTCCACCAAACCCACATGCTCCACCACTTCCGCCGCTGTAGAAGGTCGCAGTTCCCGAAGTCCAGTCGCCCGTCGGCGCTTGGAAAGGATCGCAAAATCCTCCGAACTGCGCCTCCACGAATGACGACAGGCTGACGAGGACAAGCATTGCCCCCACCAGCGTACCACCCGCCCTGCACGCCATCTCTCTCTCTCTCTCTCTCTCTCTCTCTCTCTCTCTCTCTCTCTCTGTGGGACAAACACACACACACAGAGGATGTCTGATGAACTATTGAACAACAATCTGCCTGAGYCAGAAGCGCAGACTTTGAGAGAGAGGAGCCCCTTGATTTCTGCGATAGTATCCCAACTGTCCTAGCGACGTTCGTCGATGAGCATCCGCTAACGGGTAGTACAGGCGTCTTCGGACGAGTTGTCTGGGGGATACGCAGTGCTGCGCTTCCGGAGGACTGTTTCCAAACGCAGCTGTGAAACACGCTCACAGAAATACGGCCTTGTTTGTTGAGCACCCCCTGCTAGAACGACGCAGGGTCGTCTTGCCTGTAATGCCAATGGAGCGGGCAACAAAAGGAATGGACAGACGACATGACGCCAAAGAGACATAAGCTCTCAACACCCAAAAAAAGTCGTTACTTGGACACAAGACCCCCAAGAAAACGATGCCAAACCTTGTTCAACTTTGGAAGCAGATTTCTATGCACAGCAGCACAGCCACATTTCCAAGAATTCGAAAATTTAAATCGATCAGTCAAAAAAAAAGGCTTCCAACAAAAGCACAGCATATAACAGGGAGCGAATATAGTAAAAAAAAGATACAGCATTGAAATCTTGCCTGATGTATAGCAGGCAACAACCTCGTCTTTGGACACCGGTTATGTTTCGCTCGCAATGAATGATGTGAGCAATTATTCGGTCAGGTGCATGTAATTTGGCACTGCGGTAGGGAAGGAGAGCCCTCGCTCCAGAAGAACCATGTGACGTGATGACACGCGCTAATGTTATTTTACTGACACGCGGTGATGTGATTTTAATCCATACGTATCCTGCAGTCTCGCAGACAAAAACGTAGTGTTCATGCAATGCACCCGTACAACTCTCCGTACGCTGTTCGTTTCTTGTTTTTTTTTTTTCCGTTGAAGTTGTTGTTGTTGCTATCCGTTGTTTGACAAACTCCTCAAACAACATTTTCTCCTTTAAATTGAGAGAAGGATTTAGCCAAGTATTAAAATTTAAATTAAAAAAAAAAAAAAAAAAAAAAACGAGAACATTTCTGGGGCCCCTTGGGATCAGTCTCGGTGTACTAGGTGGAGTGATATGAGGGCGTGGACCCCAATATCGAGTAACATGATAACAATGAGAAGTTCGAGCGGGGTGTGGACCCGACCACTGTAAGAGCTTCTATCAAAAGGGATGGCCTGCGTGGCCAAAGACGCAACAAGTACCCACATCAGAAAGAGCAAAGTCCTACCCGTAGCAGGAAATTGTCGAGATGCGGCTACTGCTTGCGTGGACCGAAACATTGTCCGTGGGACTACAAGAACCCGCCGGTCTCAGATCTGGTTCACACGCTATACTCGACAGTCCGAACCGTACGCAGAACACCCCCAAAAAAGCATACGACACTAAAATTTCCCTTTGAACAGTCCAAAGCCATTACTTCCTTGAAGTAAGCGGCGCCACTCGGGCGTCGAACCACGGACCGTGTGACCACTAAGTCCCACAGGTCCCAAACTTAGAAGCCCACCTCCTTCAGATCACATCAGATGCTACAGTGCAGCAGTTCGCATTCTCAGGGGAACACCAAGGGATGGGTTATATAAACGACACTATAGAAGTCACCGTGGCCTGAGTGCAGTACAACAGTTATTATTGTAGCAGAACCTGTGACGCAGCTGGGCAAGGCCGTGGGACCCGCCTGGATGACCGTGCATTATGCTGCGGTGAAAACCTGTGAACCCGATGCATCAGCCGCCCCGATCGTAGAACCCGTGGGTCCACCCTTGGGTGGGAGGTGCGCAGGTTCCACGAGCAGTGGGACAAGTTGGGGACCGGCGTTGAAGACTGTGTGGGTCAGCTGCGCTGAGTGTGGTCCATGCCGTAAAAGCTGTGCACATGCCGCGCGAGTCGGTAAGACCTAGCAGCCGCTGAACAACGCGTAGGGGCGGTATCGCGTAAGCTCCGCGTGTTCAGCAGGCCTCGCCCATCCACGTGGTCCTAGGGATCCGTGCCATTGTTGCATTCTATCTGACGTCCAGTACACGATATATGTCATGAATGGACCCATGCCAGCCCCTGCATGCGGGACCCACCCACTCACCTGCACGAATGGAACCACGCCGAGCAATCACGAAAAGAATTTGAAAATTAATTCCAGGCAATCCCGCGAAAACAACACACCCCCACGTTACCCCACTGGAAACGAAACCCAGGTTACATACAATCAACATTAGCGGCCCTTTCGCCTCAAGTGCATTCTCTCTCTCTCTCGTCTAAAAGGATATATATATATATATACATACATATATATATATATATATATTTATATTTATATATAATATGTACATATATATACATATGAAATGTGTATATATATCGTCAAACATAGACACCTTACAAATGTATAGATATCTACGTCCTACTTATCAGTTTTTTTGGGTTTTTTTTCCCGAAACGGATAGCACGTACATGTAGGTATGTCCCACTTGTCCGACCGCCACATTTGATATCAAAACTGATAATTTTTCAATGTTTTAATCACTATTTAAATTTTAGCATGTCTTATGGTATTGCATTTTTGCCAATGGCACCGTTCGTGCATGCCATAATGTTCGTGTTTTCTCCGAAAAATCAAGATATAAATTATATAATACACATAGTAACATACTTTTTTGTACATTTACACTACAAGCAGGATTCGTTTTCGTTTGCGACAGTCGAGGAAAAAACTCAGAAAAATGTATATGAATAAAAACACCACCACAAACGGAAAGGGAAAAAAATTAAAAAAATCATTTTCTGGTACCCGGTCACTAAAACAACAAATGACTTTCTTTTTTTTTTATCCTTGGACTGGCGACCTGTTCGTCGTAAGAGTAATATATATGTAGCTTTTTGAAAAATTTTCCACACACAAAAAAAAAAAACTGAAATGATTTCGTCCGTTTGATTGTTAGTAAAAAAGCAGCTGTTACTAGTCGTATTCAGAAATTATAGATTCGACATATTATTTCGAAGAATAATTTTGCTGCGAAACCAATCCGCATGACTGTTCAAAAGGAAAAGAAGACGAAGTAAAAAAACACAACGGAAAAGGTATTCTTCACTGCTTTAACTGTCATTGGAGAGAGAGAGAGAGAGAGAGAGAGAGAGAGAGAGAGAGAAGGGGAGTGGCAGCTATGGTGGTCTGCGGCAGGAGCGGTCGGCAGCGGGCCGGAACGAGGGAATGAGCAGGTGATTGATTGGGTGCGCACGCGCGCACGTGAGTGTGTGTTTGTGTGTGTGTGTGTGTGTGTGTGTGAGAGAGAGAGAGAGAGAGTGAGAGGAGAGCGGCAGGGGTAGCATTCGGCGGCGGTAGCGGTGCGCAGCGGGAGCCGAAGCCAGCCCATTGGGTGCGTACAGAAGCGCGCGCGCGCGCGCGCGCGAGAGAGAGAGAGAGAGAGAGAGAGAGAGAGAGAGAGAG